CGGGCCCTGGCTCTGAGGTGATGGCCAGGCGGGGCGCCCCGGACTCCCGCCCCCCTCGTGCCCTCCGGGGAGCTCCGGGGGGGGGGAAGGCGGCAAGTCCAACAGCGGTGCCCTGCCGAGGTTCACGGCACGACTCTGGCGAGGGCCACGCCGGCTCTTCACGGCCCACGGACGTGGCCGAGAGGCGGCCCACCTGGTCTGCAGCCTGGCTGCGCAGCGAGATGCCGAGGTGAGCAGGACGGGGCCTCTGCTTGTCGAGCCCAAGGGCTCGCGGTCGGACGAACGCGTGGCTGTGACGGGCAACGTTGGCTGCCCCTGCCATGCCACTGCACACCACCACAGCCCGCTCCACGCTTGCTGGCAGGAGGGGGGTGGAGGCGCCTGCGGCGCCGCCGCATGAGCTGGACAATCCCCGTGCAGTCCGAGACCCCTCCGTCTGTCACGTACACGAGCCCGGGCGCGCCGCGCACGCCGTCGGGAACGGCACTGCGACCACCGAGGTAGTAGTACCGCGTCACCTGGTGGAATCTCCGCAGCAGCTGGTCGTGGGCAAGAAACCTGAGCTCGACGCCTGCGCGACCACGACGCCGACCACGGCTGCCGATCGCGGGACGTGATCTCGCACGCGACTGCGGAGGCTGCCGCAGCTGGACCCCGGTGAAAAACACATGCACGGTCGAAGTTCCCCGAGAGGGGCCAACGAAAACCTCTTAAAGAAGAGCCAGTCGATAGAGGCCTCCCGACTGGGGTCTGAGTAGGTGGGGTCGGAGGTCCGCGCCGCATCGCCAATGGGTCACCGATGCAGCGGCGACGCATCGGCGACGTCGGCGACGCATCGGCGACGTCGGCGACGCATCGGCGACGTCGTCGTGGCCAAAATCGGGCTCCGCATCGAGCCGCATCGCCGATGCATCGGCGGTGCGGCGCGATCCTCCGATCCCATCAACTCCGACCCCGGCGGAGAGGCCTGAGGCCGAGTGGCCCAAAAAATACCCGGGGGCGCTGGGAAGCCTCCCGGCGCCGGAGCCCTGTCGTGCCTGGGCCTCGAGCAGTGCCGCGCCGCTCGCGGGGCGAGCGCGCAGCCAAACCGGGGAACCCAATTGGACAGGCCATACCATCGGGCCGGGCCAATCGTGCGATCAACGACCCTGGGATCAGCGATCCGTGCGCTCGCGATCGGTAAACGCTGAGAGCCAAGAGCCCAAGGCCGCGCGCAAACGTGAAGAAGCTCAGGAAAAGCACAGTTACGGCGAGCATCATCGCAGCCACCAAGCACGAGTAGGAGAACCCGCAGCTCATTTCTGAGCGCGAGAGCTGAAATCCCACGGTCAGCAGAGTCTGATACACGATGTACAAGAGCAGACAAGGCAGGCGGCGGTACCACCACGGACCTTCTGTGAATGCGATGTAGTCCCCCCAGCTCAGGTTGAGCATTTCTGACCAGAACCTGTACCTGGTCCTCTTCGTCATGCTGATGGTGATGGTGTCCAGGCACGCCGCCGCGGTTATTGCCGTGACGTGCGCGAGCTTCCGCCACGCCGGCGTCGCGTAGTAGCCCATCTTGTAGCTTCCTGTGTGCAGCGCGCTGAAGGAGATCTCCTCCGTGTTGGCCTTCGACCTGTCGCCCACGCTCTTGTAGTCGTTGACCGTGGCAGTCAGGAGCAGCATGGGGCACCAGGGGCTCTTCTGCACCTCCGCCAGGGAGCGGTCCTGGCCGCCCTCCAGGAAGTTCAGCCGCAGCGTCCGCCGGTAGTACTGGTGCCAGAAGGACCCCGTGTGGTTGTGCAGGGGGATGGCCAGATACGTGAGCATCAGGGAGATGCCCACAAAGTAGTACCACTCTACCTCTGGGGCTGCGGGACACCCAGGGCGCCTCGCGGCAGCACTGCAGTGACCACTCCCGTGCGCGGAGCACACTCCGAGCAGAAAGAGTGCAGGATGAGACGGAACAACCTCTGGGGCAGCGGCTGCGTGGGAAGGCCCGCGGAGCGTCGGGATCCCTCTGGATTTTTGCAAATCTAGGGTCTAGGGCCATGGCTTAGGTCGGGCCTGTCCCCCTACAGGGGCATTTTGGACGAAAAATATCTAATACCCCAAAAATGCTCAAAAAATAGTCCCCCCGGACTATTTTTAACTATTTTTGAATACTCCCCCTGTAGAGGGGCAGGCCTGAATTAAGTCTAGGGCCATGGCGCTGAGGGCGGATCCAGAGGGCGCCTGGCAAACATCAGACCCAAACGAAAACGAAGGACGCCAGAGAGACACTGGTACCCAGGACCTCCCGAGCATCTTCCATGGGCCTCCAGAATACATCCAGTGGCCACCGGGGCCCAGCGGATTGCCGCCCTGGGAGTCCATGGCCTCCAAGAGATGTCAGTGGCCTCCGAGGGGGTTCGAAGGTGCTGCCATGAAAATCCTGGTGCCTCCTCGGGGCATTCAAGGGGGGATTCGGGAGACCTGCTGGGGCTTCCAGCGAGGACGGGCGGATGTCGGGAAGCGCCCTCTTCACCTCCACCTTTGGGAGGAAAAGGAGTGCTCTGAGATCCGACGACGCGAAAAAAATCAGCATCATCAGAAATCACGACCAGATCTCCAGACCCCATCTGCCTGCGGCATTTTTCGAACCGGATCGATCTGAACCGGCCCCAAGGCCCGAAACAAGACGAACACACCCGGCGTGGGAAAAAACGCAGCGCCCAGATTTCAGGGGAGCCCCTCACAAGAACCAGTTCTCAGCCCTGGCGCCAGCCTCGTCGATCTCGAACGTGCCCAGGAGCCGCTGCCCGGTGAGCGGGGTGTAGACGCGGAACTGGACGGACAGCACCAGCAGCAAGAAGGCGACGCACTGGCCCGCGACGGAGAGGAACGAGAACACCAGGCCCGTCACGAACGGCCAGAGGCAGATGGCGAGCACCAGGCCCGCCAGCAGCACGCGCCAGAACAGGCTCCCGATGCTCTGCACCCCGGGCGCGTACCTCGGCGGGGTGACGGGCCCCGCCGAGCAGTCCCAGACGTCGCAGCTGCGGTAGCCGCTGAACTCGGCCTCCGTCCACCAGGGCTCGTACTCGGAGTTCAGGGCGCTGCAGCGCCGGTGCGCCTGAAAGCCGGCGGTCTTCGTGCCGTTGCTGTTGATGTAGACGCCGCACCACGCCTGCTGGGCCAAGGCCACTCTGGTGAAGGGCCACTATATCCGCTCATAATCGGTCCCGGGGACCCCTCCGGGCGTCCGTCCTGGCTCGTCTTCCGACGCGGGACCAGAGATCCGATGTCGTGATTTTCTCCAGACGGGGTCCCCGGAAATCTCGACCCACTCCCCAGGACCGGCTTCTCATCCTGAACCGTGCTTTGGCGGTCCCGGGGCCCGGCGAGGGCCCCTAGAGGCCGAAAAGTGGGAAAAAACTCCGCCCTGACTTTTTTCAATGCGTAGGATCGCCAGGGATCGCGACGAGAGGGGACCCTGGCAGGGGGCCCAGAGATGGAGGAGGAGGAGGAGGAGGAGGAGGAGGAGGAGGAGGAGGAGGAAGAGGAGGAGAAGGAGGAGGAGGAAGAGGAGGAGGAGGAGAGGAGGAGGAGCAGGAGCAGGAGGAGGAGGAGGAGGAGGAGAAAGAGGAGGAGGAGGAGGAGGAGGAGGAGGAGGTAAGCCCACGCCGGGGGAGGGCCGCCGACGGGCCCGCCTGCCGGGCCTCCGAGTCGTCCAGCGCCATGTTGACGTACTGCCACCACTGCGCCAGCGAGGCCGCGTAGACCACCACCAGGAAGAGCCCCAGGATGACGGTGAAGCTCGAAGAAGGAAAAGGCCACGCAACCCAGACCCCCGACGTAATGAATTTTTCATGACGTCGACCCCAGAGTTCTCGACCCCTTCCCCAGGACTGGTTTGTCATCCTGAGTCGTTTTTTGACGCTCCCGAGGCCCGGCGAGGGCCCCCAGAGGCCGAAAATGTCGAAAAACCTCCCGCCATGCTTTTTTCATTACTCGAGGGGGTCTGGGAACACACAAACGTTTAGCGCTCCGCGCGGATGTCTTGGATCCGCGCTGGGCCCCCTCCCTGCGGCGCGCGGAGCGCGCCAGGGGGCGGCGCCGGAGGCGCCGCCGGGGGGGGCCCAGCGCGGATCCACGAAAGCCGCGCGGAGCGCCAAACGTTTGTGTTTAAGTCGGGCCTGTCCTCCTATAGGAGGATTTTCTAGGAAATGATCGACCCACGAACCCGGAAAGGAATATAGAAATGTAAAGCATGGCGGCGTTTCAAAGACACCTGATTGGGAGACGGGCAAATGCAATGCTGAGTGTATCGATCTGGATGTACCGTACCGAGGGCTGTGCTGTGCGCCATGCCGCGATTGTGCTCTATAGCGTTGTGGATCGAGTCCTCCTTTGCATCCGAGTCCTGAACGAACTAATCTGGACCTTAAGCTCGAGCTGCCTCAGCACATAGTAGCTGCCCCAGAGCTAATCGACAGAGGGGACATGCCAGGAGGACGCGCCGCCGAACGTCCCAAGGGACGCGCCAGGCGACGTGCCAGGGGACGTGCCATGGGGACGCACCGCGGGACGTGCCAAGGGGACGCGCTACGGAACGTGCCAATGGACGTGCCACGGGACGTGCCAAGGGACGCGCCGCGCGACATGCCAGGGGGACTTGCCACGGGACGCGCCAAATTGCAATGCTGAATGCATCGATCTTGCTGTACCGTGCCGAGGGCTGTGCTGTGCTGCGCCGTGCTGAACTGCGATGTGACATGCCGCGATTGTGCTCGATTTAACGTTGTGGATCGAGTCCTCCCTGGCATCCGAGTCCTCACCGAACTGATCTGGAGCATAAGCTCGAGCTGCCTTAGCAGATGGTAGCTGCCCCAGAACTAATCGACAGAGGGGACATGCCAGGAGGACGCGCCGCGGAACGTCCCAAGGGACGCGCCAGGCGACGTGCCAGGGGACGTGCCATGGGCACGCACCGCGGGACGTGCCAAAGGGACGCGCTACGGAACGTGCCAATGGACGTGCCGCGGGACGTGCCAGGGGACGCGCCGCGCGACGTGCCAGGGGGACTCGCCACGGGACGCGCCAAGGAACGTGCCAAGGTGCAATGTTGAGTGTATCGATCTTGATGTACCGTGCCGACGGCTGTGCTGTGCTGGGCCGTGCTGAACTGCGATGTGCCATGCCACGATTGTGCTCGATTTAACGTTGTAGATCGAGTCCTCTTTGCATCCGAGTCCTGCCCGAACTGATCTGGATCTTAAGCTCGAGCTGCCTCAGCACATAGTAGCTGCCCCAGAACTAATCGACATAGGGGACATGCCAGGAGGACGCGCCGCCGAACGTCCCAAGGGACGCGCCAGGCGACGTGCCAGGGGACGTGCCATGGGACGCACCGCGGGACGTGCCAAGGGGACGCGCTACGGAACGTGCCAATGGACGTGCACCGCGCGACGTGCCAGGGGGACTCGCCACGGGATGCTCCGCGGAACGTGCCAGGCAACATGCCAGGCTTCAACGCTAAGGGTATCGACATTGATGTACCGTGCCGAGGGCTGTGCTGTGCCTGGGCGACCTGGACACGTGGAAACACGCGTTCCGCTCAAGACGTTCCCAGCACATCCTCGTGCTAGACATCCGCCTGGGCAAGCTGGACACGTGCAAACAAGCGTCTCGATCGAGACTTCCTCGACACATCCTCATGCTAGACATCCGCCCGGGCGACGATGACGCGTGAAACCAAGCGTCTTGCTCGAGACATCCTCAACAAATCTTGGCGCTAGACCTCTGCCTGGGCGACCTGGAGGCGTGAAACCAAGCGTCTCGCTCGAGACGTCCTCAAGACCTGGGCACGTGAAAACAAGCATGTCACTTGAGAGATCCTCTGAATTCAGGCCCCCAGGAGAGGACAACCTATAACACAAAACAAGCGTTTCGCTCGAGACATCCTCAACAAATTCTAAAAAAAAACAAGCGTTTTGCTCGAGAGATCCTCAACTTTTTAATTCGCCGGCCCTACGCGACCTCGATATTTATCGCAAAAGAAATTCGCCGGCCCTACAGCGGTCAGATCCGGGGGCAAACCCCGAAAAGAGAACCCTGGGCCTGTGCCCTTTCCGGGAAAAATTACAAATAGTCAGAAAAGAATCAAAAATGGTCAACAAATACTTTTAAAAAATCGTCCCTGGACTTTTTTGACTATTTTGGAACATCCCTGCTGTAGAGGGACAGGCCCGACGTAAGTTTACGTTCGTGTGGCCTTCTTCTCCTTCGGGAAGCGCAGCAGGAAGGCCCGGGCGCCGTCGGCGACGAGCAGGCGCCGGGACACGACGGGCCTGGACCGCCGCCCGCGCTTGGAGGTCGTCGGGAGCATGCGGCACTGCTGCCTCGGGGGGGCGCCCCCTGGAGCGGGGGGCCGCCCAGGGGGGAGGGCTCTCGCAGAGCAGGGCCCGGGGCACGTGCGCGACGCTCCCAGGCATCGGGGGTCACGAAGAAATCGAGGCAGAGGCTTTTCGTAGCTTTGGGCCTCTCGGGGCCCTCGCCGGGCCCCGGGGTCGTCAAAAAAGGACTCGGGGTGAAAAGCCGGTCCAGGGGAAGTGGTCGGGAGGTCGGGGGCCCGCGTCCCGAAAAGATCGAGACGTCGGATGTCTGGGTTGGGGAGGGCCAGGGGAAGCTGGGACTGGAACCGGAGCGGCGTGTGCAGAGGCGCGCCCTGTGCGGGATGCCGCGGGCCAGGGGGCGTGCACCGAAATCACAGGAGGGTGCCGCGAGATATCCGGGCGGATATCGCGGCCCCGGCCATGATTTCCCCCCCCCCCTCAAGCGTCTCCCCCTCTTGGCCGCCCCGACTGCCATTTGCTCGTCACCCAGCAGACAAAGGTCAGAAGTAAAGAGATGAGCATGGCATCCCACACGGTCACGATGTTCGACCTCTCGCGAATCTTCTCTGCGACGAACGCCCAGTCCTCCCAGTAGCCCTTGTGGGGAGGGTCTGCGGCGCAGAAGGCAGCCCTCATGGCCGACCCGAAGAAGTTCTCCACGATCTCGATCACCGGGACCTAGATGGCGACCTCCGAACCTAGAGATCCGATGTCGTGATTTTTTCAATACGGAGTCCCCGGAAGTCTCGACCCATTCCCCAGGACCGGTTTTTCATTCTGGGTCGTTTTTTGACGGCCCCGGGGCCCGGCGAGGGCCCCTAGGGGCCGAAATTTGCGAAAACCCTCCGTCTTGATGTTTGTCCATGCGCTGGATCCCTGGGAACGCGACCCCCGCCGGCCATGGAGCCTACTGAGCGGATGGGCGGCGGGGGCGGGGCCCGGGCTTCGCCACGCGGTCGACGACACTCAGGACTCCCTCTGCCCCCGCCGCCCGTCGAGCTCCCGGAACCCGCGGGTCGGCGAGGGTATAGGGCGCTCGGGTCTCGCCGCCGGGGGACCACCACGAGGAAGATGAACATCAGGGGGTTGAAGGTCATGGAGCCCCCGAGCGCGAGGAGCAGCAGCGGGAAGTCCAGCCAGCGGGGGAGGCAGCCGGAGCCCTCCGCCCCCGGGCTGCCCCCCTGCCTCGGGTCGCGGACGAAGCCGCCCGCGTTCGCCTGGGGTCGTCGTCGTCGTCGTCGTCGTCGTCGTCGTCGTCGTCGTCGTCGTCGTCGGAGCTGGAGGGTGAGGAGAGGGAGACGAGGAGGGGAGGAGGTGGAGATGGGGCGAGGACGGGATGAGGGGCTGCTGCTTGTTGGCAGCGCGAGGAGGGGAGGAGGAGGAAGGTGGAGAGGGGAAGAGGGAGAGGAGGAGAGGAAGCGGGCTGAAGAAGGAGGGGAAGGAGGGAAAGAAAGGATGAGGAGGAGGAGGAGGAGGAGGAGGAGGAGGAGGAGGAGGAGGAGGAGGAGGAGGGGGGGAGGAGGAGGAAGAGGAGGACTAGTGCAAACCGAAGGCGCATCAACCATGATGCAGTAAACCCTCCCTCCAAGCTCCCTCTTCGCAGGCCCATGCAAGAAATTGCTTTCATTGCGGACAATGGCCCATTAGAAGGCAACCGTTTCAGAACCCTCAACCATGCCAAACACCGTTCCCGGGACTTCAACGCCGCGGATGTAAATCTTTGTTGCGTCCTGGCAGTCCAAAATCGTGCCAGAACAACAGTTCTGGGACTTCAACAATGAGAACGAATGTGACTGCTGCAACCTGAGAATTCCAAATCGTGCCAGAGCACCATGCCTGGTTTTCAACAGAGAGAGAGTCAGCGTGACTGTTGCGTCCCGACAATACTAAACCGTGCCAAGTCATATTTCCTGCGACTTCAATCGTAGGAAGCCTTGACAACTGCTGCAAACGTTGATCCAGAATGTGCGCGGCACTGAAGCGAGATCCACATGTTGAAAAGAAAGCCGCCCTCAATCCGTGAAGCTCTTGCAAACTCTCAAGAAGAATGTGCGCGGCCGAAAACCATATTTTGAAAACGGACTGCCCTCATAGGAATGCGCGCGGCACTAAAGCGAGACTGGCATGTTGAAAAGGAACCGCCCTCGAGTGTGCGAGGCGCTAAGGCGAGAACCACATTTTGAAAACGGACTGCCCTCCATCCGTAAAACTCTTGCAACCATTGAACAGGAATGCGCGCGGCACTAAAACGAGACCCACACGTTGAAAACGGCCATCCCTCCATCCGTGATGCTGTTGCAAACTAATGTCCTCGGCGCTCAGGCGAGCGCCACATTTTGAAAACAGGCCGCCTAGTCCCCGACGAAACGACTAATGCGCCCTACCGACAAGTCTGCGGGTAGAAGGAGGACGAGGAGAATGAGGGGGAGGAGGAGGAGGAGGAGGAGGAGGAGGAGGAGGAGGAGGAGGAGGAGGAGGAGGAGGAGGAGGAGGAGGAGGAGGAGGAGGAGAGGAGGGAGGAGGAGGAGGAGGAGGAGGAGGAGGAGGAGGAGGGAGGAGGAGGAGGAGGAGGAAAAGGAAGAGGACGAGGCCGAGGCCGAGGACGACGACGACGGGGACAAGGACGAGACGGACGACGAGGACGAGGACGAGGACGAAGACGACGAGGAGGCGGGGCCTGCATCCTGCAGATGCACCTCGCAACCGCCCTGCGGTACAGCGCGCCCGCGGCCTGTTCGCCCCGGAGGCTGCCCTCCGCGCCCGGGCCGCAGGCGGCGGCGATCTGGGACGCGAGCGCGGAGGCCTCGGGTACGGCCCCTCTGAGGAGGAGGAGGAGGAGGAGGAGGAGGAGGAGGAGGAGGAGATGAGATGAGATGAGATGAGACGGCTCCCAGGGACGTCCAGGGAGGAAGGGGCCAGCCCGACACAAAATTGGGGGGGGGGGGGGGGCACAATCGAAGTTGATGTTTGCGACAGGTGCACGCCACCCCGCTAGGGTCTCCGACGGGCCTCTTCACGAGCTCGGATCCGCTCGTGGAGGCGGGCCAGTCGAGCTTCGTACGGGACAGCGCTGTCCAACGCACAACTGGCACTGCTGGCGACGGTGGTCCTGGACACGACGTCCCGAGCGGACGCGACCAACACACCGACGCGAGGGGCGGGGATGGCCCTCGCGATGGATGAGGGGGAGGAGGAGGAGGAGGAGGAGGAGGAGGAGGAGGAGGAGGAGGGAGGAGGAGGAGGAGGAGGAGGAGGAGGAGGAGGAGGGGAGGAGAAGAAGAAGGAGGGAGGAGGAGGAGGAGGGAGGGAGGGAGGAGGGAGGGGGAGGGAGAGAGGGGAAGAGGGAGGAGGCAGGGGGGAAGGAGGAGTAGGAGTAGGAGTAGGAGTAGGAGTAGAAGTAGGAGTACATAGGAGCAGGAGGAGGAGGAGGAGGAGGAGGAGGAGGAGAGGAGGACCAGTGTAAACCCAAGACCCATCAACGATGTTGGAATAAACCCTACCCGCAAGCTCCACTGAGGGAAGTGCACCGTTGGGAGACATCCGTTTGAAGATCTTGATGCGTGCCAAAGCACCACCCTCGGAATGTGCAACGCCGCTAATCAACCGGAGTGTTGCGTCCAGACGATCCTGAATCGTGCCAGAACACTGCTCATGGGACTTCAACACAGCGGATACAGCAAACCTTTGCGCCCTAACAAGTCGTAAGCCACTCCAAAGGACAACTGCTGGTACGTTAGGAATTCGTGACACGCTTGCAGTGCCTTAAAACGAATTTGCGCGGCGCTAAGGCGAGAGCCACCTTCTGAAAATGAACCGCCCTCAATCCGCTAAGTTCTTGCACACTTCAAAGAGAGAATGTGCGCGGCGCTGAGGAGAGAGCGACATGTTGAAAACGACCCGCCCTCAATCCACGAAGTGCTTGCAGCGGTTTAGAACGAGTGTGCGCGTTGCTGAGGCGAGAGCCACATTTTGAAAAGGAGCCGCCCTCGATTCGTGAAGCTCTTGCCATGTTTTACTACGAATGTGGGCGGTGCTGAACAAAGCCCCACATGTTGAAAACGGCCCGCCCTCAATCCGTGATGATGTCCAAATCTTGAAAACGAATGCGCGCGTCGCTAAGGCAAGAGCAACAGCTTGAAGAGGAACCGCTCTCAGTCCGTGAAGCTCTTGTAACCTGTTGAAACCGAGTGTTCGCGGCGCTGAGGCGAGGGCCACATGTTGAAAACCACACGCCTTCCATCTGTGAAACTGTTGCCAACGTTAAAGCTTCAGGGTTATAAGCGGCGAAGAAAGTCTCAGGCGAAACGCCCAGCCCGCCGTTCGACTGGCCTCGGGGCGCGGCAGGACGAAGTTATCCATAAGGAAAGGCATGCAGGACCGGTTAAAGCCAAAGACGCATCAACGAGAATGCAATAAACCCTCCCTCCACGCTTCATCTTCATGGGCACCCCCAAAAAAAAACTGGAAGTACAGGAGGAGGGGGAGGAGGAGGAGGAGGAGGAGGAGGAGGAGGAGGAGAAGGAGGAGGAGACGGGCGAGGAGGGAGGACGGGATGAGAAGGAAGAGGAAAGATGAGGTGAGGAGGAGGGACGAGGACCATTGCAAACCCAAGACTCACCAACGACATTGCAATCAATCGTCCCTCCGAGCTCCCTCTTCGTAGGCCCCTGGAAGGGTTCGTGTTCACTGAAGGATGTGCCCCGTTGGAAGACAGGCGCTTCATCGGGAACTGCGTCAGAAAACCATTCCTAGGACATCAATGTCGCGAATCACCGTCACTGTTGCGTCTGGACGCTCCTTGTCCTCCTGTTTGCACTGCGTCGTGACCTTGCACGCGCCCGCCGTCCTGGCAGCGCGAAGTCGGCCTGGGGCGGCCGTCACCGATACCGCTGCACCGTCCATCCTTGTGCTCCTGGTTAACCGTCTGTTTGTAAAGCTGCTTGTGAAGCTCGTGCATTTCAGCCCTTCTGCCCCCGTCATGTCGACGAAGTCCCGTGGCCGCGAAGCGGCTAGCTCCCTCCTCCCTCCTTCCTCCGTCCCTCCCTCCCTCCCTGCCTCCCCCCTCCTCCCTTCTCCCTCGACTCCTCCCTCCCTCCACATCCTCCTTCTCCCTCCTACGACTGCCAGTCTGCATGGCACCGAGGGCGCAGCCAGGTAGCCGCCTCCCGAGACGGCGGCCAAGAACTCCACGTCTCCCAGGAGCCCCTCCTCCGCGAGCCGCCAGAGCACGCCAGACTGGAAGGCGGCCGCGCGGGTCCCACCTCCTTGCCGGGCTCCCGCCAACCAACCCTATCCCTGAGATCTGGGCGCTGCGATGTTTTCGCACTGGGCGTGTCCGCCTGGCGTCGGGGCCCGGGGCCATCACGGATCAATCCGGCTCGAGAAATGCCGCAGAAGGATTGGATCTGGAGCTCTGGTCCCTCCAGGAGGTTTTGTCTTCCCCCCCACTTCCCGTATTTTCGCATGCTTTCTAGGGAATCGACGACTCATTGTGTCTGTGTGTTTTTTCCCTCCTGAGTGAAGCAGCTGCGCGGTCAAGGATTGGATCTGGGGCTCTGGCCCCTCCAGGAGGTTTTGTCTTTCGATCCCAAGTATGGGGATCCTTCGAACAAGGCCCATCCAGGATGGTGAAGCGGCCCTGCGCGGCTGCCCCTCTGTTTCAGCGCACCCGTGGGGCCGCGTAGCTGCTTCACTCAGGAGGGGAAAAACACACAGACACAATGAAGCGTCGATTCCCCCGAAAACATGGGAAAATACGGGAAGCGGGGGGGAAGACAAAAACCCAGAAAATATTGGAAAAGATTGGGAATCCTTTTGATTGTGTGTATTTATTTGTGTGTCCTGCGGCCCCTTCATTCACGGGATCGCGCCGCAGCTGCTTCCAGGTTTCGAGTGCACGTGCGTGGACATGTCCGCCGCCCGATGTCTGGGGCGCGCGGAAGCACAAGTCGGGAGCTGCCAGAAGCTGCGTCTTGGACGATGGGCACCTTGTTACCCACCAGCCCTGGGTGGTCTCGGCAGTCTTCTGCGGTATTCTTACGCTCTTCGACGGTCTTCGTCGGTTTATGGCGGTTTCCTGCGGTTATCGGCGCGAAAGCTGGGCAGTTGCGGTCAACAAGGGGTCCATGATCGAACATCCAATAAAAGTGGCCCGTTCCTCCCCGACGCTCAGGGTCTCCAAGATGGCACGAAAAACGGGGAAGACTTGGGCCAGGAACGGACCACTTCTGTCAGGGAACAAGAGAAGACATAAACACAAATCTCGGGAGGCCCTCGCGGATGTGTCGGATCGGCGTTGGAGCCTCCTGGTGGCGCCTCCGGCGCCGCGCCAGCGATGCCCCCGATAGTGGATTCGCTAGGTCCCGGGCCCCTATCAGCGACGAATGGGCCATTGGGGGTCGATGCATCCCCCCATGCTCCTACATTGCACCTCCCTCCTCCCCAGACCCCCGACGTAATGAATTATTCATTACGTCGACCCCAGAGTTCTCGACCCCTTCCCCAGGACCGGTTTGTCATCCTGAGTCGTTTTTTGACGCTCCCGAGGCCCGGTGAGGGCCCCCAGAGGCCGAAAATTGCGAATAACCTCCCGTCATGATTTTTTCATTACTCGAGGTGGTCTGGGTCCTACGTTGCCCCTCCTCCTGCGTTGGAGCCTACCCCCTCCTCCTGCGCTGCCCCTGGCCTTCCGCTCCCTGCTTCTCGGGCCACACCGCGGGCCTCTGGCGGCCGCTGGCGGCCGCTCCGGGCCGCCCCACGAGCGCGCTCGGCGAGGCGCAGCTGCTGGGACGCACGCTGCGGCTGGAAGGCCGCCGAGAACGGACGAGCACGCCCGAAAACCGCCAATCCCCCCCCGAGCCTCTCTGAAGGGGCCCTGGGACACACAAATTCGCCGGCCCAACGGGCCAGAGGCGTGCTAAGATCTCCGGCAACTGCTCGGCCTTCTATTTTTCTCCAGCACAAGCTTGAGAGGGCGCTGGGGCGAGGCATCGGCAACAGTGACAACAGAACGCAGCAGCATCGAACAAGTAAAAAACTCTGGGCCTGTTAAATTCTGAATTCGTGTGGGATTGAAAGGCGGAAGAGCAGAGAAGGGAGGGAGGGTCGGGCGGCTCGCGCGGCTGATTAGAGCCAACGGTTGCGGATCACCAAATTGACAGGCCAACCCGATAAACTATCTCCAAGGCCTTCTATTTTTCTCCAGCACAAGCTTGAGAGGGCGCTGGGGCGAGGCATCGGCAACAGTGACAACAGAACGCAGCAGCATCGAACAAGTAAAAAACTCTGGGCCATATTCACGTCCAGATTCATTAGTGTACTGGTAATACCGCCTAGCATTTACAAATGTCCCACAACCGAGAGAGCCTACGATTATTTGACGCATCTACTAGAGACTTGGCCAGAATCTTGCACAGCTCCTTGGGGTAAGGCTGTGCTACTGCTGTCCAAAACTGGCCACCGGGGGCCTTGCCCTCAAGCACTTGGCGAGGCCTCTGGGACCTCTCACAAGTGCCTTTACCGTGGCACTTTCGCCCAAGAAGCTCCGGAGAAACGTGCCAGAGGCGAAGCCGGGTTCGTTTACGCCACGGCTCACCCCACATACAAAAATCCGCGAAAACATCATGAACATTGGGGAGCCTACAGAGACCTAGTACAGGCGGACACAGCCAAAGACGAGAAAAGGCGGGATTCTCGAGCCCTCCAGGGATCCCTCTGGCGTGAGCTAACTTAGCAAGCACAACAGAGACATGCATCAAACGGTTACCCAACTGCACTCGCATTTGGTCGGGACCTGAGAGGCCTGGCAGCCCAAGAGGAAACTCTTTGGACCTCAAGGGTCCTGGCCCAGACTTGGTATACCTACGGGCCAAAGAGAAAGAAGTGCACGGGGTCCCTAACCACAAGATGCTCACCTCTCCACTGAGAATCCATCCTTTCAAAACTTCGACACTGGACGCCTTGGTGAGATCAAATTGCGCTCCTCGAGTGATGTCCCACTCGACCGTGGGGATTCCTCTGGCACGAAGCGCCGAGGCGAGGCGGCCTGACCCAGCGAAGACCTCGACGGCGACCCTGTCTCGCCCCAGGCGCACTTTGTGGAGCGTCGCGTTGAGCAGCTGGCGAACAGCTGCGGCAGCCTCTGCATGCTGAGTCGCAGCCGCTCCTGCACCACGGGCGGCACCTTCGCCACTTGCAGCGCCAGGCGGCCGTGCTTCTCGTACCTCCGCACGGACAGGCGAGCTCGCCACCTGCCTCGCTTGGCCACCTCCTCGAGTGACCTCCTTCCCACGATCCGATCGTGGCTTGCTCCTCCGCGCCGAAGGCAGTACAGCGTGGCACCGAGGCTTTGAAGTCCCAGCACCGCCAGCGCGTTCTCGACCTCCTCGCGCAGCTGCGCGTAGCCGAAACTCCACAGCGGCTCGCGGGGCTCCAGCCGCGCCTTCAGATCCCTGAGCGCGGGGGTAGGCCATTGGAGCTCGGGCGCGTCGAGCGGCAGGGAGTCGCCCAGCTCGCCTGTCTTGCTGGGCACCAGCAGCTCCTCGGGATGAAGCAGCAGCGTCCACCAGCGAAATCCGCCCTGCAGCCCGGCCGCAGGCGGCACCAGCTGAAAAGCCTTCATCGCCAGGAGCTCTCAGGGTCGAAGGTAGCAGTGGGACATGAGACAGAGAGCGCACGCCATCGCCACCTCCTGCTTCAGCAGCAGGAGCTCCAGCACGCCGCAGAGCACCAGCCACGGGAGCGGGGGGCGAGAGCGGCCGGGCCGCTTGCGCTTCCAGCCCAGCAGCGCCCGGCTGCTCCTCGGCAGCACCACCCGCAGGGGCCGCCCCAGCGCCGGTCGCGCCCAGAGCACCGCCGACAGCAGCTTCGCAGCCCTGTTCGGCCGCACTCCCTGCGCGAACTCGTCGTTCAGGTACTGCAGCAGGGCGTCGTCCCACTCCAGCGCGCTCCAGCTGGGCAGCGTCTCCACTCCGAGCCAGTTGCAGAGGCCACTGAGGCACCTCAGGTAGTTCTGCTGGGTAGAGGGCCTCACCGCCTCCAGCTCCAGTCCTGACACGCTCGAGCCCAGGAGGCGGTGCCACGGCAAGGCAGTCGACCTCTGGGACGCGGCAGCGGGCCAGGGGCGTCTGGCACTGGCCCTCGCCTGACCCGAGCGCGCGCGGCCCGACGAGCCCAGGAGGCGCTTCCGCCCAGGGCCGATCGCCGGCGCACTCGGAGCAGGCAGCGGCGGCGCACTCGGCGCGGCCGCCACGAGCCGACGGCGCTCCATCGCCCCGCAAACGGCGAGGCTCGAACCGCCTTGAAGGACCGTCGGCGGGGTTCCACTCTGAAGGAATCCATCGCGCTGACACACGACAAGACGATGCGAGCTGAAGAGCTGTGAAGTGTCTCAACTGAGCGAGGATGGGGAAATCCGAGGCTCTTCCTTTTGCAACTGCACAGCAAATGCACATGCTGTTAGAAGCCTGCACCCATGATGCGCCACTCGCCGCACCTGCCGCCGCATGGCCCACAGCAACGCCTCGCCCTCCAGAAGGTGGATGGGGGCACGATGGCGCCACCGTCTCGAGGCTACGGTCTTCCACGAGGTGGCCTTGCAGAAGTCCGACGGCACGTCGGGGAACGGGGAGTCGCCGACGGCCCCTTCACGCAAGGCGCGTGCACGCGAGCCTTCGGCCACCAGCTCGCGCTCCTTGAACCTCCAGCGTTCTCTAACTCGGCCGATGCGCCCGACGTCGCGTGGGTCCGCGGAGCGCTCCACCGCGCCCAAGCCAGTCATCGAGGCGTCCACGGCCATCGCGCTGGGGGCCCATGCGCCGCGCAGATCAGCCCACACCAGCGGCAGCAGCGCTCGCACCCAGGTCAGCTCTCGGCGCACTGAAGGCCAGAGCCGCACGCGCCGAGAATAGCACTTGCCGACAAAGACAAAGGACGCACTGAGCAAGCTGAGCACCTCGCGTCGTAGCAGCAGCACGTACGTCAAATGCCCGATCAGCCGCTCTAGCTCGGCTCCCGTCAGGAGGGGGTGCTTCAGGATGTAGTCCAGACTCATGACCAGCCTCCAGAACCGCTTGGGCGCGATGTGAATCGCCCCCTTCACCCCGTCGATGTGGAACCCGAGCAGGTCCACGTCAACTTGCGGCCCCGAGATGTCGTGAGTAGTCAGACCACGGCCCCTCAGCTGCCTCTCCATCGAGTCACCGTCGAGCTGGACTGTCTCCTTTACGGTCCCCAGCGAGGCGAAGTTGTCGATGTACAGGAGAGCAGCGGGCTCACGACCGGCGACAGCCGGCGCGCAGCGGCGATTGCAGATCCAGCGGCGGGCCCCTTGCGGACCAGCTCGCAGCAGCTCCCCGTTCGCCGCCTGCACCAGCGCCACGGCCCAGTTCCAGCCCATCGGCACCACGCGCACCTGAAAGTGAACGAAGTCGTGCCCGGGCGGAAACAGGCGGCGCAGACTCCGCGGCAGCAGCTTCCGAGGCACCGCAGGCAACACGAAGTCGGCCCTCAGGTCGTCAGGCAGCAGGAACTGGTAGTAGCAGTTCTCGACATCGCCCTCACTGACCCACAACCGCTGGCCTGCAGGCAACTCCAGATCACCCAGGGCCTCAGGAGACGCCAGAGCAACACTATCCGGAGGTACAAACTGCGAGTTCGTCTTCCGAGGGTCGAAGATGATCCGCAACGAGCCGTCCTTCTTACGCACAAAGAAGACTCCCACAAAACTGCGAACCTCAGTCGCCGGCTCGACGACACCCGATTCGAATGCAGACATCAAAAACTCGGCGTACTTGCTGGGCGACCTAGCCAGGATGGGATCCATCGCAGGGCCCAACTCGTCCACCTCTGCTGCCACGTCCTTTGTACACACTGCTGGTAGCCGAATAGCGCGGCCACTATCCTCCAGCAACTTCTGGTAGTGGTCGGGCAGGCAACTGACGAAGTCGATCGCCTGGTTACCGACCGCCGGCAGGGCAAGCCTGCCGCGCTGGTAGGTCGCGAACTCTCCGGCGACAACACCTGCGACGGCGTAGCCGGAACCGCAGCCCCGAAGCGCAGACCACGCTCCCGAGGCGGTGAGGTCGTCGGGCGGCGGCGGCACGGCAAAGTAGGCCCGGGCCAAGCTGGCCACAGCCTGGCGCTGGATAGCACCAGGCAGCACTTTGGGGCCCCACTCCTCGCCGCGGCCGCCCAGCACGTTGAGCGTCGAGATGCCGCCCTGCAGCCGCGCCTCGGCAGCCCGTCGGCGCGAGCGCCGCCGATCCGCACAGCGCGACACACCCAGGCCAGCTAGCGAGAGCCCCTCCAGGAGATCAGCCAGGCAGCGCCCAGATGGCAGAGGCAGCAAGTCCCGAGCCCAGTCTAGGCCTTCACCTGCAGCACCGAGGCGGCCCGCCATCCTCCTCACGCGGGCAGCCCTCCCCTCTGCAGAATGGGCGGCGGCCGGGGGCCTCCGCCGCCCGTGGCAGCTCAAGCGGCGTCACCCCCCGGCCCGCCACCATTTTTCTTCGGGCGCCTGGGGGGCTTCTCGTCGTTCTTGCCGCTTCCAGCACCTGGAGCAGCATCGGTCGAGCGGGCCAGCTGCCGCTCCTCCTTCGCTTTGCGGCGCTCCTTGAGCACCGCGCTCTCCTCGGACAGCTTCTGGGAAATCCAGGACTCTAGAGCAGGAGCCACGAGAGCACGGCCATGGCGGCCCTCCTCGCCCATGAACAGCCTGTCGTTGTCGAGGTGGCCGCTGTCGCCGCCCGCCGTTGCCGCGATGAGCATGCGGGCGTACCTCTCCTCGAGCAGCTGGTAGCGCCTGCCCGCCAGCTCCAGCGACGCAAGCTCCCCGAAGTTTAGCTGGTCGTAAGTCAGAGCGTACTCGAAGAGCCTGCTCAAAGACTCGTGCTCCCCGACGCCCCAGTCACTGGGGCCCAAGCCTAGCAGCTGTCTCCACCAGAAGTGGCGGCGCACGGGAGTGAGCTCCCGCCGAGCGATCTCACGTGCCAGCCACTCCGCCGTCCTGGGGCCGCTGATCGGCCAGTCCTCGAAGGCCGTCGTCGTGGCCAGCGACGCCGCCTCCTTGTAGGAGCGGTGCCTCTGGCTGGCAGTCTCGTACTTCACGGGGAGGGTGCGCAGCTCGTTGGACGCAGGCTCAGCCGCTCCTCCCTCCCTAGGCGTAGGCATCTGCTGGCCCGGCCTGAAGAAAGTGCAGGACACGAAGACGTCGCCCACGAGGGCCACTCCACGATCCCCTCGCTGACAGCCTGCCTCCAGCTCCGCGTCGCCGACACGCTCGCCCAGCCTAGAGCCTCCTCGGTTCTCCGAGTACCGCCATCCTCCCTCGCCCGCGCTCGGCACGCCCTCCAGAGCCAGCGGCGGAGGCGCGCCAGTGGGCGGCGGCAGCGGCGGGGAAGCGGCCAGGCCCAGGTCGCGCCTCTCCTGCAAGGCCAGCTCCGCGCCCTCCGCTTGGAGCCGCAGGCTCTCCTCACGGTGCAGCGGACCCTGGGACGAGTTCCTGAACAGGTGCGTGGGCCCACGGTTCCAGCCGATGGGCAGGCCTCCCATCGGACCCAGCAACACCAGGCTCTCGGCGCCCTCCTGGAGGTCCTCGAGGTACATGTCTCTCTCGGGGGTGGTCACCACCCAGGAACCCTCGTGCACGTGCGCGCACAGAAGGCGCTCATGCCACAACAGCTCACGCGGGTCCTCGTCGTAGGAGACGAGCACTCGCTGGCCCTGACGAAGCTGATCTAACATCGCCTCCGTCGGTCAGGCAAGGAGTCCCTGAGCCCTCACGCGTGGCACGACCCTCCGAGCGCCTCAGGCACCACCAGCCACAGGAGGCAGCCGCGGCGAACCCTGCCAGGAAAGCCAGCACCGCCTCCAAGAAGACCACCAGCCCAGGAAAGCCCGAGCACTCGGGCGGCGGGCACGGCGCCGGCAACGTGAGGTTCGCGGGCCCGCACCTCTGCAGCTGCCCCTCGAGCAGACGCAGCAGCTCACGGTCCACAGCGAACCCGTCTCCCAGCTCCACCTGGCAAGTACAGCGCTGGCCGTACCACAGGCTGCCCAGTTGTGCCAAGCCACCGGCGCCAGCAGCGGCGGCCCTCGCCCACTCCATGGAAGGGCGAACCACCGGCTCGCGCGGCTGATTAGAGCCAACGGTTGCGGATCACCAAATTGACAGGCCAACCCGATAAACTATCTCCAAAGCAATATTTCTGGTTCGCGCGCGCGGGGCGGGCCCTGGGGGTCCCTGGACGAAAAGTACCCCGGCAAGGTCCCGGCAAGGTCCCGGCAAGGTCCTGGCAAGGTCCCGGCAAGGTCCCGGCAATCCCTCCAGACGGTCCAAGAGTGCCAGGAGACGCCGAAATATCACTCCCAAACGCCTGCGATGGCCTCAAGACGGCCCAACAGGCCTTCAAGACGCCCCAAGAGGTCCCTAAGCGGCGCCCCAAGAGGGCTCCCACAAGCAAAATTCGTCCCATTCCCGTGGGAAAACGTGCATTTTTAACATATCCGCCTCTTCGTCTTTCACATCTTTCAAGGCGGTCCAAGAGGCCCCCAAGATCACCCCAAGACGGCCCGAGAGACCCTCTAGACCGCTCAAAGACGGCCCAAGAGCGCTCCAAGAAGGCCCAAGAAACCCTCAAGAACTCTTTTTCGGAGCCCAGGAGGGCTCCAAATCGGTCCAAGAGGGGCCCGAGAAGCCCTCCAGACGGTCCAAGAGAGCCGGGAGACGCCGAAATATCACTCCCAAACGCCTACGATGGCCTCAAGACGGCCCAACAGGCCTTCAAGACGCCCCAAGAGGTCCCTAAGAGGTCCTTAAGCGGCGTCCCAAGAGGGCTCCCACTAGCAAAAATCGTCCCATTCCCGTGGGAAAACGTGCATTTTTAACATATCCGCCTCTTCGTCTTCCACACCTTTCAAGGCGGTCCAAGAGGCCTCCAAGATCACCCCAAGACGGCCCGAGAGACCCCCTAGACCGCTCAAAGACGGCCCAAGAGCGCTCCAAGAAGGCCCAAGAAACCCTCAAGAACTCTTTTTCGGAGCCCAGGAGGGCTCCAAATCGGTCCAAGAGGGGCCCGAGAAGCCCTCCAGACGGTCCAAGAGAGCCGGGAGACGCCGAAATATCACCCCCAAACGCCTACGATGGCCTCAAGACGGCCTAACAGGCCTTCAAGACGCCCCAAGAGGTCCCTAAGCGAGGGCTCCCACAAGCAAACATCAACTCATTTCCTTAGGAAAACGTGCATTTTTAACATATCCGCCTCTTCGTCTTTCACACCTTTTCAAGGCGGTCCAAGAGGCCCCCAAGATCACCCGAAGACGGCCCGAGAGACCCTCTAGACCGCTCACAGACGGCCCAAGAGCGCTCCAAGAAGGCCCAAGAAACCCTCAAGACGGTCCAAGAGGCCCCAAGACGGCCCCATGATTGAGGTCCACAAGGGCAACCTGAACGGAAATTTTGAGCCTCCCGCCCAAACACGCCCCCGAAATGCCCCTACAAGCCCCCAAGTAGCCCCACGAAGCGCTCAAGAGAGCCCCAAGAGGCCCCCAACAGGCCGCAAGAAAGCCCCAAGAGGCCCCCAAGAGACCCCTAGGAAGCTCCCAGGAGGCCCCCAAGAGGCCAGGCAGACCCCCCCAAGAGACCACCAAGAGGGCCCACCCAGAGCCATCCACGAGGCCTCCCAAAGTTCCCAAGAAGCTCCCACGAAGCTTCCAAAGGCCCCCAAGACCCCCCAAGACCCCGCGATGGCACAATACGGGCCGGCGGAATGAGCGAAGCGATTCAATAAATAGACACAAATAGCAGGATCCCCCATATTTTCCCATATGTTCTGGGCTTTTGTCTTCCCCCCCACTTCCCATAGTTCCCCTTATTTTCGGGGGAATCGACGATGAATTGTGTCTGTGTGTGTTGCTTTCCCTCATGACTATCCCCCCCGAGCGTTGCCCTTCTGCTGCCTCTTCGGGGGGCCTTGTCTGTCCTGTCGCGGCCCCATGCGCGTCGGATCCGTGTCGAATCCGTGTCGGCCTCGTCGGATCCGTGTCGGATCCGTGTCGGATCCGCGTCGAGCCCGCGCCGAATCCGCGCCAGATCCGCGTCGAGTCCGCATCGAGCCCGCGTCGGGCACAACAAAAGCCACCACTTTGTGGGACAGGCGAGGTGCCGCGACGATGCAACGTAATTGCCCCTGAGAGAAGGGATGCCCCTGGGTTTCTGTCTTCCCCCCCACTTCCCATATTTCCCCATCTTTTCCGGGGAATCGGGGATTCATTGTGTCTGTGTGTGTTGCTTTCCCTCCTGACTATCCCCCCGAGCGTTGCCCCTGAGAAAAGGGATGCCCAGCTTGGCGGCCCCGCGGTCCCGACAGCGCGACCGAGAAGCCCCGGTCCGGGCGCCTCTCCCAGGCCACCTGCTGCCTGCGCGCCGACCACGACCTTGCGGGCCTCCTCCTCCGTCCTCCTGCTCCTCCTCCTCCTCCTCCTCCTCCTCCTCCTCCTCCTCCTCCTCCTCCTCCTCGTCCTCCTCCTCCTCCTCCTCCTCCTCCTCCCTTCTTCCCCCCTCCTCCCCCCCGTGGAGGGACAAGGGGCCCCTTCCCTCCCGCTCCGCTGACATCGGCAGCGCGCCCAGGGGGGAAGCGAGTCGGCAGGCCTTCTCGGAAGGCGGCGGGGCTTCTCGGGAGCCCTCCGGCCTTCTGAGAGGCCCCCCATGCCCCTTCGGAGGCGGCTTCGAGAGCTCCGCGGAAAGCCGCACGCCTTCTGAGCCTTCTGAGAAGGCCCGCCCTCTCTCACTTCCCCCCTGGGCGCGCCGCCGACGGAAGGGGGCGGCGGGCGACCACTGCGCAATTTGTAACGCTACGTTGACTTTAAACGTGTATTCTTGGTCAGCCACCGCCATGGCGGTCCGATCCGGGATCTGCGGGGGCTGGGAAGGCACAGCGGCGACAGGGGCAGTGGCAATGCTGGCGGAGGTAGTAGCAGTGGTGATAACAATGGTGGCAGTGCTGGTGCCGGCGCAAAAGGCAAACGCAGGCAATGGCAGCCATAGGAGCGCTGGCAAAGCTAGTACCAGCACTGTGGCAACGCTGGCATTGATTCTGGTGCCAGTGATAGGACTAATGTCATTTTGATCACCATTGCGAGTGTTACGCATACTGCACGCGCTAGTGCTAGTGCCCGTGCCAGGGCTTGTGACAGCGGTGGTGAAAATTTGCGGACGAAATGGCCATGGTAGTGGAAATGGCCGTGGCAGTGGCAATGGCAGCGGCGGTGACAGTGAAAGAGGCAGTCGCGATTGCAGCGGCACCAGCAAAACCAGCAGCGGCGGAGCTACAAGCGACGATACCATGTCTGGAAGCAGCTGATCAGAAACAAGTAAACGATCGCGCTGTCGCACTGTATTTGGAGAGAACAACCTGTGCATGTGCCAGATCTCCTCGGCGCGCACCCTCTTGAAGTCTAGACAATGAACGGACTCCTCAGCACTGAACCAGGGCGGCACCTCCTCTTCCCGAGTCATGGAAGGCATGTCTGTCAGGACATCGGGCAGTTCCCCGTCGCTCGGCGAAGAAGATGATTCGCTCTCCAGACCATAGTTGGCGCCACGGTCACCTGAGCTGGAGGAGTCGGAGAACTCGTCCTCGGAGAACTGCAGAGCCTCGCTGGGAGTCGTGCCTCCCGCCATCGCTCCCTCGACGCGACCCGACAGCGAAAGGCAGCTGCTTCGGGATCTCTCCGAGCTTTGTCGAGTGCTCTGGGCCTAGAGCGCCTGTGGCGCAAAAGCGGCATCAAAAAATTGCATGGGTCCCTGCACCTTCCTTCCACACGGGACACGGTGTTGTTCAATCGTCCGTTGTCTGGCTCTGCCGTTTTCAAGTCCCTGGCCTCGAAACGGGTCCCTGCACCGTTCTACCACACGGCAAACTAATTGATTCAACTGCCCGTTCTCTGGCTCTGCCGTTCTTGAAATCCCTGGCCTCATCGTCGATCGGCTCCCGGAGCTCTGGGCCCGGATTCCTGATGTGCGGCGGCGCCATCGTCCAGAAGCTGGCCTGGGCCCAAGCCTGCGCTTGAGCCAGCCTGAAACGACCTCAAGGAAGACTGGCTGACTGATCCGATGGCGACTCATCCGCTCCGACTTATCCGATCCGAAATTCGGGCTAACCGCGACCAAATGAATTACTCACCGGATGCATTTGTAGGGTACCGGGTACCAGATGAGTTAGTCCGGATGAGTTAGGCACCAGATGAATTAGGGCAACGGATGAGTTAAGACACAAGGTGAGTAAGGGCACCGGATAACTTAGTCACTGGATGAGTTTGGCACCGGATGAAATAGGGCACCAAATGAGATTGGTACCGCATGGAATAGGCACCTGATGAGTTTGGCACTGGATGAGTTAGGCACCAGATGAGTTGGGCACCGGATGAGATAGGCACCAGATGAATCTGGCACTGGATGAGTTTGGCACCACATCAATTTGGCACTAAGTTTGGCACAGGATGAATTTGGCACTGGATGAGATTGTCACCGGATGAGTTTTGCACTGGATGAGCTCGGCACCAGATGAGCTTGGCACTGGATGATTAGGCCTGGGTAAGTTTACTTAGGCACCGGATGAGTTAGTTTCCCGAGGGCTATTCTGGAGGGTTTGTTGGAGGTATCCTGGAGCAGATGGGGGGCCAGAAGTTTCTTGACTACAGAGCGGTTTGTAGGCAAGCAAATGTTGACTTACTTTTGGATGTCTTTTGTAGCCGACGCTGGAAGCTGCTTTTTCCAGAGGCTATTCTGGAGGGCTTTTTGGGGGCATCCTAGGGCAGAATAAGAGTGAGACATTGCTTGACTACAAAACTCTACAAAACGGTTTGTAGTCAAGCAAACGTTGAGTTCCTTTTGGGTTATTGTTGAAAAGTCTTTGAAGCCGCCGTTGGGGGCTCGCTGTTTCCAGAGGCTATTCTGGAAGGCTTCTCAGGGGGCCAAAATTCGCTCGACTACGGAACGGTTTGTAGTCAATCAATTTTTGGATTGATTTATGATTGGACTTCTTTAGGTGAATTATTGAATACGGTTTGTAAAAATTATTATTATTGGAGTTATTCGGGCATCTTGGGGTTATTATTATTATTTGAGTTATTATTGAATTGTAGAACGGTTGGGTATTCAAACAAATTTTGAATTACGTTTGAATTATTATTGGATTCATTTGAGGTCGACAGTGGGAGCTCGCTGCTTCCCAAGGCTACTCTGGAGGATTTGTTGGGGGCATCCTGGGGCAGACGGGGGGCCCAAAGTTGCTTAACTAAAGAACGGTTTGTGCTCAAGCAAATTTTGAATTACTTCACTTGTCTTTGAAGCCGACGTTTGGGGCTCGCTGCTTCCCGAGGCTATTCTGGAGGGCTTCTTGGGGGTATCCTGAGGCAGATGGGGGGCCAGAGTTTGCTCGACTACAAAGCGGGTTGTAGTCAAACATACTTGGGCATGTCCATCAAGGTGCCAGATGAGTTAGGTTGGGTGAGTTCAGGGCACCCGATGAGTGACAGACAGGATGATTTCGGCACCGGATGAGTTAGGGTGCCGGATGAGTGGGGACAGCGAATGAGTTAGGGCACCGGATGCAGTAGGGCACCGCGAATGAGTTAGGGCACCAGATGAGTTAGTCTTCGGGTGAGTTTGGACTGGATGAGTTGGCACCAGATGAGTTTGGCACCAGATGAGTTCGGGCATCGGATGAAATATGCTCTGGATGAGGTAGGCCTGGGTAAGCTTAGTTAGGCACCAGATGAGCTAATTACCGGATGAGTTTGACCAGATGAATCAGCCGCCGGATGAATGAGCACAGACGAGACAGGCGTCGGATTACTTATACCGGATGAATGAGACAGCGGATGAGTTAGGCGCGGATGAGTTTGCACGGATGAGTTAGGCACCGGATGAATCAGCCCGGTGTCCAGGAGGAGCAGGAGCAAGAGGGCAGCAGCAGCAGCAGACATACCGCCCAGCTCGCAACTCTTCGCCTGCGTATCGAGAGCGAAGACGTTCGACCATCGAGCGTCAGCCCGACGGGCGGCCACCTCGAGCCTCGTCGTGGGCAGCGAGGAGGGCAGCGGCGGCCAACTGCAGGCCAGGCGGCCCGCGAGCGGCAAGAGCGGTAGCCCGGCAGCAGGCTGCTGGAACAATCCCACGCCGATCTCGGCACAACACTCACACGCGCCGTGGTTTCATTGGGAGTTCCACCGAAGGCCCCAGTGCCACTGCCCGCATGCGCCACCCACACTCATGTCTGCACATCTCTCACACGTTCAGTGGCCCCACAGGGAGCTGCACCGAAGGCCCCACTGGCGCAGCCCATGGATCCAATGTATCCAGTGACTGCACCATTTCTACATATGTATATATTGATTTGCAATCTTATGTCTCCCCCCATTAAAACCCCTCTGGGGTCGCGCCACTTCCGTCGACCCAAACGTGATGGACCCCTTCAGGGCATCGAAACCTCCACAAACCAATGGCAAATCAATGATTTGGCCCCCCGGGGCCTCTTGGGTACGTCAAGAACGCTCAAGATGGCCTCAAGACGGGCCAAGACGACCCAAGAGGGCCCAAAAAACTCCCAAGAAGGCCCCAGTGCCCCAAGAGGACCCCCAAGAGCGCCTCCAGAGGCCAACATCATTGTGTTTTCTCTGTTGTTTTGAAGATTTGAGCGTTCTCGTTTTGTTCTATCCTTAGAAATCCATAACGGCCCAAGCAGCCTCCAAAATGGTCCCAGGATGGCCCCAGAGGCCCCCAAGAGATCCCAAGACGGCCCAAGCGGGCCCCAAGACGGCCCAAACAGGCCCCCAGGACTGCCCAAGAGACCCCCAAGTTGCCTACGGCGGCCGCGGGAGGCCCACAGGATGACCTCCGAAGGAGCCAAACGGCGCAGGAGCGCCCCAAGACGGCCCAAGACGCCCCCAAGAGGCCCCAGAGAAGCCCGCAAAAAGGCCTCCAAGAAGCCCGCAATAAGGCCTCCGAGAGGCCCCAGAGAGGCTTCCACCAGGCCCCACAGCCTCTGAACTGCACGTGCTCCGGCTGTGCACCCCGCGAAGCGAGAGGAATCCACGTCTGGAGGTGACGTGCTGAGCGGCAACGTTTTCCGCGAAGGCGATAATGCAACGTATCCAATGTATCGGATAGTTGCATGTTTGCTACATTTCGTATTAACCTAAACGTGACGGACCCACTTCGGGCTTCGCCAAGGGAAAATCTATGGTTTGGGCCCCTGGGGCCTCTTGGGGGCCCAAGAGTGCGTCAAGACGGCTCAAGATGGCCTCAAGACGGGCCAAGACGACCCCAAGATGGTCCAAGATGGCCCCAAGAGGGCCCAAAAAGCCCCCAAGAAAGCCGAAGAGGGCCCCAAGAAGCCCCTCCAAAGCGCCTCCAGAGGCCCAAATCATTGACTTCCAATTTTTTTATGATTTTGGCGTTCTCGCCATTTTCTACTCTCAGAAGCCCATGGCGGCTCAAGCACCCAAGAAGGCTCCAAGACGGCCCAAAGAGTCCCCCAAGACGCCCGAAGAGGCCCCCAAGACAGCCCCAGAGGACCCCAAGGGAGCCCCCAGGCGGCCGCGAGAGGCCCCCAAGACGACCTCCGAAGGAGCCACACGGCGCAAGAGCACCCAAAACGGCCCAAGACGCCCCCAAGAGGCCCCAAGAGGCCCCAAAAAAGCCCCTAAGAGGCCCCAAGAAGCCCCCAAGAGGCCTCCAAGAGAATCCAAGAGGCCCCCAAGAGGCCCCCCAAAAGCCCCACAACGACTGGACTGTACGTGCTCCGGACGTGAACCCCGCGAAGCGAAAAGGAATCCACGTCCGGAAGTGACGTGCTGAGCGGCAGCGTTTTCCGCGAAGGCGATAATGCAACGTATCCAATGCATCCAAGAATTGCACACTTGCCAGATATTGCATTGTGTTGTACTATGATGTGACACTCCCAACACTCCCCTGGAGTCGCGCCACTTCTGTCGACCCAAGCGTGACGAACTCCATTTGGGTTTCGAAACCTACAAAAACCAATGAAAAATCAATGATTTGGGCCCCCAGGGCCTCTTGGGGGCCCAAGAGTGCGACAAGACGGCTCAAGATGGCCGCAAGACGGGCCAAGACGACCCCAAGACGGTCCAAGATGGCCCCAAGAGGGCCCAAAAAGCCCGCAAGAAGGCCCCAGAGTGCCCCGAGAGGACCCCCAAGAGCGCCCCCAGAGGCCCAAACCATTTACTTTCCTGGATCTTGAAGGATTTTAACTTTCTCTCTTTTTGGGACTCTCACACGCCCATGACGGCCTAAGCAGCCGTCAAAATGGCCCCAAGACGGCCCAAGAGGACCCCAAGGCGGCACAAGAGGACCCCAAGACGGTCCAAGAAGGTCCCAAGAGAGCCCCAAGGCGGCCTCCAGAAGCCCCCAAGACGGTGTCCGCAAGGACCGGACAGCGCAAGGAGCGCCCCAAGGCGGCCCAAGAGGCCCACACGGGGCTCCCAGAGGCCCTCGGGAGGCCCCCCAGAGGCCCCCAGAAGGTCCCCAAGCAGTCTCGCCGAAGCGCCCACAGAGCCCCCGAGAGGGCCCACAGCGGCGCCACGGCGGCGCCCGCGGGGCTCTCGCGGGGCCCCAGGGAGGCCTCGCCGCGCCTCCCGCCGCGTGCCCCCCAGAGGGTCTCGAAGACGCCGGGCCGGCTCGGCAGACCACCGCCGAAGACAGCAGAGGCCGCATGGCAGCCCCGCCGACGATCGTGTTCCTGGACTGCCCCACGGAAGCAGCAGCCTCGCAGCCTCTGCACATCGCAGCGTCTCCTCGCGGCCGCAAAAGGCCGCACCGAGGGCAGCGGGGCGAGAGGGTTCCGCGCTCGCCCAGGCGGCTGGCCGATCGCCCAGGCGGCCGGCCTGGCGCCGCTCGACTTCCAAGAGCACGTGACGGCTTAAGCAACCGACAATATCGCGCCAACAGGGCCCCAGAGGCTCCGTGCTAAGCGGAAGCGGTTTCCGCGAAAGCGATTGTGCAACGTACCCCATGTGTGCAACAATGGCATAATCCCTACGTGTTGCACGGTGTGACCTCATGGTGTCTCCCCCTCGAGCCCCCGCCCCCGAGGCCACGCCACTTCCGCCGACCAAGATGCCCACCCCCCTTGGGCCCAAAAGATTGCAACACGGGTGTAGGAAATCCATGATGTAAGCCTCGTGTGCCTCCCGAGGGGCCCAGAGGGCCTCAAGCCGGCTCAAGATGGCCTCAAGACGGCCCGAGACGGCCCCGCGACAATTCAAGGTGGCCCCAGAAGGGCCCAAACAGCCGCGAAGACGGCCTGCGACGGCGCCCCAATACAGCACATGAGGGCCCAAGAGGCCCCACGGAGGCCCCAAAGAGTCCCCAAGAAGCCCCAAGAGGCTTCCCAAACGGCTCCCACAAGACTCCCAGGAGGATCCACAACGACTGGACTGTACGTGCTCCGGACGTGCACCCTGCGAAGCGAGAGGAATCTTTGGATCCTGGTCTCGCAGCTGATCCTGAGCTGTCGCCGCTGCGGGCATTCGTGTCGATATCGATACTCGTGACGGGAAGCTCAGGGCGTTCCTTCTCATCGTCCGCTTCCAATTCCACCTCCTCCTCCTCCTCCTCGTCCTCCTCCTCCTGCTCCTCCTCCTGCTCCCCTCCCACTCCACCTCCTAATCATTCAGCTCCCACTGATACCTCCTCTCGCTTCTCCCCCTTCCTCCAACTCGGCCTCTGACCCTCCGTACGCACGCCCTGATCACTGTCCCTTCCTTGGCATGAGCACCTTGACAGTGGCTGTGGAAGAGGGGGCAGAGGACGAGGGGAAAGGGGTCACCGCTCGGTTCTGCCGAAGTTTTTGCCGCCACTCCCCCGCCTGACTTCGGACAAAAAACGAACATATGCCGACTGGAGCGCGAGGCCCGGCATCAACCCTGCTGGGCTTCTTGAAAGCAAGCCCGATTTGCTTCCAAGCCACTGCCCCCTTTGATCCCAGGTCGGCCGACGCCACCAGTCGGCCGCCAGCTTCTGGGCCACTTGTCGAGCCCCCGGGGGAGCCACCTGGGGCGCTTCAGGCGCGCACGTGTGAAGCTCTCGGCGAGGCGCAGCTGGTAGGGTGGGCACCGGGACCCGCTCTCCCGCTGCAGTCCTTCCTCGGGGCCGAGTCTTGCGAACAAGATCGCCAGGCTTCCGGCCAATCTTGGGGGAGCAAACGTGATACCCATACCGCTACTCCGCGGACCTCTCCGTGGGTGCGCTCTGGCCAGGATTTCGAAGCGAATCCAGCCGTGGCGACAAGGGCCTTCCTGGCGGCCCACAACACAGAACATCAAGAATTTGAAAAGGATACCATCCCCAGCGACTCCGCCTTCAGAAAACAGATTGTAAAGTGATGCTTTTCTCGTAGGCGGCAAGGGGAAATGGATGTTACGGCAAACCCGATCATCCCAACAGTGAGGCCCGCAGTAGCGCCCTCCGAAACGCAACTCAAAACAAGGTGCGTGAAAACATCCGAATGGCAAGCTAGACCCAAGTTGCAACAGCACCCTCCCGAACGCAACTTACTTCACGTCACTCGACGACGCCCATCTCGGCCTCGTCGCTGCCGCCGACATCCTTGCCGTCGCCCGCGTCCTCCGGCAGCGTTGCTGGGACGTGCCAGCGCCAAGGCCTCTGCACAAGAACCGTCACGAACGGCTGTCCCTTTTCCTTGCGAGCAGCCTCCAGCTGAAGGTTTACGCGCTCCAAGAACTGCTTGGACTTGCCGTGCCAGAGAACGTTGTTCACCTTGGCAATGTGATCGCCGACCTGGATATCGGTCAACGGATTCTGCTCGTTCCAGTCGTGCACCGCACCCACGCTTCTGACCTTTTCGACCTTGATTGGGGCCGTCTCGTTGTCCGAGCTAAGTTGCCAGCCAATTGCCTGACCGTTCACTATCGGCAGCCGGATGTAGAACTCCTGGACGAATGGCCTGTCCTTGTCCTCCTCGAAGGCGTCCTTAACTCCGACAGGCCTCCTCAGGAACAGTGA